AATACATCTTGTGCTCTAATATTTGTTATAGAAAAAATTGTTTAAGCAAAATCTATTGAGTGGTTAAAAGATTATATATTAGGAATTATGGGCTGAAAGTATTACATGGGGGGGTAACTGAAAAGTTCTCAGCCAAATCCACTCTGACCAAACAGTGGAATGTTTTTGAAAAAAAAAAAAAAAAGTGCAGTGCTATTTATTTTTTTGTTGATATATTCGATGACATAACTCCAGTTCTTATAAGTGGAAGGCATATTTTTCTTAAAACAGATTCCTCCCTCTCATTTTCTCTTTTTGGAGGGAAATTTCTTTACATAAAAATGTATTGTGATGATTTTTTTTTTCCTTCTTCCTTTTTGTAATGTTTTTACTTCACTAAAAAAATGTTAGTGAATATTATCTCCCGAATTTTACTATTTTTCTCTTTTCTACTCTTAATGAGATTTCTTTTCTAGCAGAAGATACTTTTTATGTAATATTATTTAATTAGCAAAGATTTGCTTTTTTTTTTTTTTTTTTTTTTTTACTGAATTTGTAACTTTCTGAAAAATAAAACAAAGAATAATTTCTTTTTGTCTTTTGTTTTACTTCTAAGGATTTTTACCAAATCTCATGTTTAACACTTCACCTACTCAGTGTCATGCCTGATATACCTATTCTATTATTAATAGACTCTCCCCACACATAAGTAGCAGTGGCCAAGTTCGGCTCAGTGGTGTTGAGTCAGACGATATCAGACATTGAAGTACTAACCATCACAACTAGATTGCTGCGTCATTAACTCTTATTTCCAAGTTCCTAACGTTTTGTACGTCGAACCTAATTTAGGACGACTTATTGAAATACAGGCCTCCACTGTGAAAACTACTCTACAACACTCAGAATTTTCTTTTAGGAGAATAGTGTTTTGTTTTTTTTTTCCTCTCTCTTAATGTACTTGATTAACTAACCTTGTCTATTAAATGTTTCTTAAAGCCCCGGACTTACAGCCATAGATCATTGAAATACTAATTCTTGGGCAATCACTGAAGTTAAGTAACATTTAGATGGGTGACTACTTGGAATACCAGCTGCTGTAAGCTTGCATGTGATGTAATAGATAACAACTCAGCATTGTTAATCAAAGAGCTGAGTTTTAATTCCAGTCTGGTTTGTTATTCATTTATGTACAACTATCCTTTGAAATCCACCTTTTCTCCCCCAGCTATGGGTTAATTAGGTGTATCAAATCATTATAAAAATATTTTCTGGCTTTAAATAACCTGCAAAAGGTTGATAATCTATAAATATCAATCCATCTTAAATCCCTGTAGCTTAAAAAAAAAAAAATCATACTTAAACAGTATTTGATTTTAAAAAAATAAAATAGTTCTAAGAATGATGCAAATAATTGTTGTAATAAAACCAACCATTTTTTTAATCTGTTTATTACTTGCATAAATGTTTTTTCACTTTTTAACCATTTGTATTCTTACTAGAAATATCTGAAAATTTGATGGTTTTCCTGTTTGAAAATTCTGAATTTTAAGTTAATTGAATAACAAGCTCATGGCAATAAAATATCTGCAGAAATTCCCCTATCACATCATTAATATTTGACCTTACAGCTCTAACAATATATTGTAACACCAAATCTGAATGTTTTAAGCAGTAAATGGGTACAAATAATTTTAGACCATTTTCTTGCTTTCCAGAAAAAGTTTGAATATAAATTGTCCAATGTCTGAGAATGATACAAATTTAATTGCCCATTTGGAGAATGTCCCTAATAATAATTAAAATAACCAACATTCATTAGTTATGCCACCACTACATTATCATATTGATTAACATGCCATTTATCTAATAATAGCTTAATTAAATTGCATAAAACCAACCAACAAGATAAATCTGGCAAATCCTTACCAATAAAACAAAAATACGAGATTGCTTAAACTGTCTTTTTTTTTTTTTAACATTAAGCATTTTTCACCACACCAATAAATTACATGATAATGTAGACTGTCATATGTAGATGTGGAACTTTTAAAAATTTGTACCACATTTGAAGATACAATAGAAAATCTATGAAACTGGCAAAGCACAAAAAAATTTTAATGTTGAGCCAAATGTACTCAGATATGTTTAAAATTTCACCAGAAACCAAGAAAAACAAAGTCCTTAAAGAACTTTTGTTGGTCTTTAACCAGCAACATAAATTAAAATTTGCTATCCAAATACATCCAAAATTATAGGCAAGACACACCCACCAAATTTGGGAACATTGTTTATTTAATGAATACCTCCATTAATACTTAGTCAATGCTCCTTTAGTGTCCTTGAGTGCCTATCACTGGAAGCAGGTTTCACCAATTTCTTATCCAGTGATCTGTATAAGGCCCAGATGTTTTCATGCCTGCAGACTTCAACCCCCCCATTTTGCTCCAACCATGTTCAGATCACTAACAGTATGGTATGGAGTGTTGTTTTGTTTGAAATATGTGCTGTCCTTGGACATCAGATATCTGGAAAAGATTGGGGGGGTGGGGAATTCCTTCTGTAAATTGGTTGAAATATATATTTCAGCCCTAATGTTGCCAGTGCATTCTGTCAGGGTCAAGTGACCACTGCTCCAAATTGCTCCCCCCAGACCATCAGAAATGCACTGTTTTTGTTAGTTACTTGCAGCTAGTTCTTGGAAAACTCCTGACTGGGTTTTCTTCACATCCAGATACGTTCATTGGCAGAAAATTTGGCAAATGATGATTGGTCCAAGATTATACCTTGATAAAAGTGTAAATTCTTCTTGGACATAGCTTTGAGCCCATTCCTTTCTTTTTTTTAATGTTGCAGTGAGCAAAGGCTTGATTCTAGCAGCCCTCTCCTGATAGCAAATGCCATGGCTGTTCTGTAACTTGCATCAGTACATGACCATAGTATGTTGAAACATTGGTTTCAATATGATCACCAAAGTTAAGCAATGTTGAGCCTGGTCACTATCTAGGATAGGAGATTGATTGGAAATACCAGGTGCTGTAAGCTTGGATGTGCATGTGATATAATGGATAATCACTTGGAATTGTTAATTGGAAAATCAAGTTCTAATTTCAGTTGGGTTTGTTATATTCAGTTATGCACAAATACCCTTGGGAAAGCTATGAATCCACCTCTTATCCTCCCAACTATGGGTTAATTAATAAAACTTGTCTAATTAAATCATTATATCCCCCCCAAATTCTTATATCCTAAAATTATTTTCTGGCTTTAAATAAACTGAAAATAGTTCATAAGCCATAGAAAATGAATTAATCAATCACATCAGTAGCTGTTATGTCCCAAACCTTCTCTCTGGGGTTGCTCTCCACAGGCCATTGAACAGCCCAGTGACACCTGTCTGGGGGTGCAGGTTGCACAGAATGAGGTGATACTTGTGCTTTTCCTTCCTTCTAAATTGAATGATGACTACTATTCACTGTAGCAAATGGGATAAGGTTTTCTGCAGTTCTACACTGACTCTCCAACAATTATGCCCTCTTACCCCCCCCCAAAAAAAAAAAAACTGGTTAGTTCTACTGACCCTCTTACTCTAGGTATTGTTATGCAGAGTAAGACCATCAATTGTGAAAAAAAAACTAGATTAGACCCTGTATGACATTGGTGCCTCTTGAAATGGAAAATTTTGCTTCTGAATACATCAACAGGAATATTGTTTAAATAACTTTTATTCCTTAACTCAGTCCTGAATTTACTCAGATAATTCAATCAACAATTCACTTATACATTTTTTCATGAACAAAATATATAAGTGAATATGGTATTATTGTATTATGCAGTGAAATAAAGCAAACTTTATTCTTTTTCATTGAATCATATCTAAACACTATTTTATTATAAAACATACTCTTGAGTTTTGCTATTATTTATTTTCATTTTTCATTTTACAGCTGCTTGTATACTTTTCTGTTTAGGTGAATGCCCTCGGTTTCAATTGAAAAGAATAATTACAGTAACAGGTATAGTTTATTTACATATTTTGTTCATGTACAGTAGACTTGATAAATCCTAAATTATTCATAATATTGTTTTTTTTTGTTTTTTTTACATGAATAGGAATTAGCTTTAGAATTAATTTAAAAAAGAAAAAAAAAGTCAGCATGTTCCCTCAGTAATGTCTGAATTTATGATCAGGAAGAATATAAAAAATTTGATTTAATTAGAATTTTTTCATTACCATAGGCTCTGTTATTATCAATATCTGTCCAATGGTTCACAAATATTAAAATAGCAAATACCATTTTAGTAAATGTATTTTGCATTCTGGGTATGACGATAAACTACATCCAGCAGCAAGACCTCTGATTGGGAAGTTTTGAGAAGCCTGGAACCACCTCTGTTGTTCCCAGGCCCACTCTGACCCGGGGTGGTAACACTTGTTAGGGTCCCAGCTATGCACAAATAGTTTAACTTCCAAACTGGGGTTCAAAGCACTATGAAATTATAAAGATAGTTTTTTATAATAAAAATACCAGCAATAATTTTAAAAAAAAAAAAAAAAAAATATTAACAACAATACATTTAACTCTTGACAAAATCCCTCTTTACAAAATATGTCAATGAAACCTGATCTACAAACTCATTCCTTGCAAATACATATTCTATTCATACGAACCTCTTCTAAAAATCTTGTCGGCATAAATTAACCCATTAAGATTGACATGCTGTAAAACAAAATAAACCAATAAACCAAATTAAACATGTTTTGGTTTAAGGAAAACAGTGTATGAAGAGATGCTGAAAAGGTTTTAGCTTGACCCACTTTCCAAAATAAGGCCAAACCTTAGATTCCTGTTCGCCACGATTCTCTTCCAAGGTCTTCTTGGTTGAACTGAGAATTTTTCAGCACCCCTTCATAGAAATGCTAGTTTCCACCTTTTCATTTACTTTAAGAACAAGCTTGTCAAAATGGTTCCATAACACTCAACACATTGACTTCTTTGTGACATATCTCATCAGCAGAAATCATACTGAAAACACCGGTTCTCATTTGATCACCAAAGTTAAGCAGCATTGAGCTTGGACAGTACTTAGATGGGGAACTGCTTGGAAATACTGGGTACTGTAAGTAACTTCCTACAATTTGAAATATATTTTGGCTTTATTGATTCATTTTCTATTGCTTATCAATTCATTGCAGGTTATTTAAAGCCAGGAAATATTTTTAGATTGTAAGAAATTTTTTTAGATAATACTGTTATGATGTTGATTTGGGGTTAGTAGAGACAAACGCCAAATAACACGTAACAATAAAAGGGTTTTAATAGGTTGGTAAAAAGGTACAGAAATCGCCTGAGTAGTCAATAACTAGCTCAGCTAAGAACTTCTCGGTATTTATCATTTTACCCACGGGAAACGAATATGGCACAAGGCCGGTTTTATTGTGGGTTTCTCCAAGCCCGTAGGCTCGGCCAAAAAAATAGCCTTTTGAAGCCGATTAGACGGGTTCAGGCCCTGTCTACCTCCCCGGACGAAACCTTGCCCTGCGGCAAAGCCTCGTCCGGGTTCCTCTCTGCCAACACAGAGAGTTCGACAGACGTCGGAAGTCAGCTCAAGAACTTCTCTGTCTATCTGTCTTCTCATGTCACTATTTAAAGTCTCTGTTCACAGACAAGTTCATCTTCAAGAGGGGTGGTAGGTTTCCGACACAACAAATACTGATTTAGTAATACAAGTTTTATTAATTAACCCATAGCGGTGGGTGGAAGAGGTGGATTCAAATATTTCCTAAGGACATTTGTGCATAAGTGAATATAATGAACACAACTGGAATTGGGACTTGGCGATTCCAAGCCATTATCCATTACACCACCTGCACATTTAAGCTTACAGTAATTGGTATTCCTAAGGGGTTACTCATCTAGGTACTAACTAGGCTCAACATTGTTTAACTTCGGTGATTGTATGAGAATTGGTGTTTTAACATGATGTGGCCATAAGCCATTTTGGCTTTAAATAACCCACAAAGGGTTGATAAGCTGTAAAAAAAACAAAAACAAATCAATTTTGTCAGCTGAAATCTTAAATTCTGAAGTTTTAAACTAATTTTCATCTTTTTTAGTACAGTTATACCGATTAATTGTTTTTTACACTTTGTCATCTTTTTTTTTATTATGTCAAAGATTTTATTTCATTCCTAGCTTAACAATCACCTGACACAGGTGTTAACCATTAGCCAATGAGGCTTTACTGATTTATGGTTAATGTCTCTTTGCTGTAAGTGGAGATATGATTCTCCTTATTTTAGATGCGGGAAGTTGCTCAGCTTCAGGGATTCCAACTCTGCAGCAGTACCTTCCACATCGCACTAAAGAGGTTGAGTCAGTGTAATACTGATGCCAGCAAGGGCTGGGCAAAAATCAGTTTTTGCCTTTGGCTCATATGCATAAGTATGTGTATGGAACTCCCCATGATAAAACAACCTTGTGTCACATCCGGCCTTGGTGGGGAGGCCGAATTAATATACCTGGCTTAAGAATCATCAGTTATCTTAGAATTAATTTAAATAATATTGTTTTTTCAATATTTTTTTCATCATTCTTTATTGAGAATAATGAAATTAACAATTAATCAGTGCAACCCTAATTTCTCTTCCATAAATAATGTGAATATTTTGAGTTGCTTCTGCAGCATTATTGGTTTTTCTAAACTTGTAAAGACAGCTACGATTAGCATGTGTTTATTGTAGCGGGTGGTAGAAATAACCAACAATAAGCATCTATGCAAATGACTTTCCTATACTTAAACTGAGCACAAAACAGTTCCTGAGTTCATTTGTGGGCTTTCTGGAGTAGCAAGCATACTCACAGTATTTTTGTATTAGTTCGAAGCTCTTTTTCAAAATTCATAGCATTTGGGCATCTTGTTAACTTGATTAAAAAAAAAAAGAAAAAAGCTTAGCTTGGTATGGCACAAACCAAGGTAGGAAGTAGAAAATTTGTGTTTTGCCAGTCTTTCAAGTGAAAAAAGACATCCTGATTGCTTTTAAGATCTTGACTTTTTCTCAAACACAGATAACTAATGAAAAAAATACAACTATCTAACCAATGCAAGTCACCAGTGTTTTGATTTTAGGAACTGGCTTTTAATGCACTCTGTAGGAGACTATTTTAGCCAAGCAAAATGTTAGTCCTGTCAATGCAAGTTGAATTTGAATTTCTTGGTGGTGTAGTCATATCCTTCTATGGAAACACCAAAAACAATCTTGACTGAAATTGAGAGCCAGGCTACTGCAATTACAAATATATAAAACACTATATTTTGAGGGGATTCCATATCCAGTAAAAGGGGACATAACATTTATAAATGATGCAGATTAAGTCAGGGTAGCTGTGAGTAATAGGGTATTTATCTACACACTCACTCATGTAGGATGAGAGTCCAAAAATAGTCCAGTCTCATTGGCACTTCCTTTTCTGGAGATTACTCAGGCATCAGGTAATAACCTTACCTCCTCCCAAGGAGAGATATTGCTTGGAGAGACAGGACATAATGTGCTTCTTTCAGACCAAGTAAGACATTTATTTATGTGTATTTTAACACTCAGTTTGGGGTGTGACTGGTTTCCAGACTGGAAAAAGACATTAAATTTTTTTTTTTTGTATGATTTAAAAAAGATTTTCTTGACCAATATTATTGTATGATGGAAAGTGAAATAGTGTCAAGCGCTTGGAATGTGTTCAAACAAATATGGTTAGCAGACTAAAATTAAGAAAGATTGCATTTTTGTGTCTTCTTTCAAGTGGAACTGGCTGTTTACAAAACTGGGCCGTGATCGAACTCCTTACTGCGAGGCATGTTAGCAAGCTACTGCTCCATACTTATTTATTCCTTTCCTCTTTATTTCCCCCTTTAAGAAACTTTTGTTGGTTGCCTCCCTTGCTTGGCAATCACGTTGTCGCTTTGATTCACCAACGCAATCGTTTTCTTTTGGACTATTAATTGGTTCTGCTATTTAATAACAACCACTTTTGTAATTTTACTGTTCAAGGTAAGAATTATATTGATGGTGATATTGGTACTTTCTCAATATTCAATTTATTATTCTTGTTGATTTTAAAAATATTTTTACAATATCGACACACCTTTTTTTACGATCGGACCAAAGGAAAAAAAAACATTAAAATCTGGTATTTAATAATTTTTACTAGACACAAAATCATTATCTTCCATTTTAAACGTTCAATAATTGTAATTGAAACTTCGAGTTTTTTTATTATTAAATTATAAAAGTTGTATTTTGTCATAACTTAATTCTCAAAAATATTTCACAAAAAAAATACGTGCTAAGCTATAGTTTTTTTAGTTTGATCAAACAAAAACTGCTTTTTAAAACTATTGATTTCATTATTATGTAAAGTCGGGTACTTTTAAAAGCAATCCCCTGAAAAGGAAACAATAACCTAAAAGATAATATTGAACCCATTTTTAATTTGTTTTAAGTTAGAAGTAAAAAAAACCCACATCAAAATTGCTCTTTATGAACATGAAATGATTGTCTTCATTCTGTGTTACGAGTGGCCATGATTGACATAACTTGCCGGCTTAATTAATGTCTGATAAGTAATATTTTAATTTTTTTTCTGGTTTTTAAATTCGTAACCGTCTCAGAATTTGTATAAATATTTATTATACTGTGGCCATAATTTACAAAAAAAAGTCTGCCTTAAAAGAGTCAAATTCAAATTATTTTCCTATTCAAAATTACTAATTTTTTTACGCTTTAAAAAAAAAAAAAAAATTGATCCATGTTCTTTTGTCTATGTCACTCAGTGTGAATAATTACACACCACTTTTTTTAATTTTTATTTATTTATTTTTTTTTTAAAATGAAAATGGGCTTAAACTTAAAGAATTTTCCCTATTTGTATTTGGACATCCATACTTGGTGCTAAAAGGCCTGGGGGGGCATTTCCAACATTACTTTTCACTTTGTTTCAGGGTGGGATACTTTTGGTTTTCATTTCTTTATCATTCCTATTCAAGGCTTTCTATATGCAACTTTTTTTATTTAAAAAAAAATCTAGATTTTTGTTGATCAACCATCTCTAATCAATTGTTGGTAATCAACAATGATCTAAAAAAAAAAAAAAAAAAAAAAAATAATTTTCGGACGAGGAAAGTGTGTCCAGGTTACAATTTTTTTTTTTTTTTTTTTTTAACTCTGAACGTTTCTCCATTAATAATCTCTTTAACCATTTTTTTTCCTGAAAAGGTTATTTCTATTAAAGCGCTTTTTCTTTTATTTCCTTGGTTCAAATAAATAAACGTGCTTCCCTAAAAATAAAATGTTTTTTCAACACTTAAAAAAACAATAACACTGAAATTGCTGAATGTGAAATCTGTTTTGTAATGCCAAATGCGTGTCGTGTTCTTTCCTTTTTTTTTCTTTCAAATCTCTTTCTCATCCTACGTACGTACTCTTTTTGTCCCATTTACCATTTTTATGTTTATAAATGATATTTGAAATTCTCAAATTTCTCTTAGATCAACTTGCGGCTTGCCTTTTTTGATTTTTAAAAGAAACAAAAAAAATTAAGTGGTTAATTCTCCTTCATAATTTGAAGTCACTAGGAGAGGAGATCCTAGTTTATTCATCAAGGTATAACTTTTAAAATTACTTGTGTTCTCTAAAACATGGACCTGGGTCAAAGTATAATTTTATTTGACACTACCAAAATCACACGTAACCTTAACCTACGATCAGTGTGTTTATTAATATTTTTTTTTTTTTTTTTTTTAAAAAAACCGTAAAATGTGCAGGCAGTCGTCGCAGTTTATTTATTTTTTTTTTTTAAGCTCGTAAAACGAGGTATTTTCAATATGCCAGGTACTTTGCATCAGAATCAGATGTATAGCGAGGTGCAAAATTATCCGTACGGTAAAAATAAAAATGAATTTCATTTAATTCACGACACAAATGCCTAATTCACTTTTCAAATATTAATAAACGTTTTATTCAATAATAATAATAATAATAATAAAAAAAAAACATAAAATTATCGTAAACTTCAGCCGTTAAGTTAAACGGCGTTAGTCTTTTTTTTTTTTTTTTTGGTTGGTTGGTTG